ACTGTTCATGCTTTGGATGGTCGATCTTTCCTGCCTTGGGATGTGCGCATGGGTGGTGGGGGAGAGTACACTTCTTTCAAATCCAATCAAATCACTCTATTACAGCCATAACACCAGAAAAGAATGATATAAAACCTAAAAAGTAAGTGTGTATGTACACAAATACACAAATATATATTGACAAGTACTGTATGTACGGATATAAGATACATAAGAAGAAATAAGAATGAAATATAGACTCTAAAAGTGCAATAATGAGAGAATGAAATAACATAAAATGCCAGTAAGTAAATAAGTCAGAACCTTCAACTACAGATAAACCGAGTATCACATATAGACACACAAAACTAGGCAACCTGGGAGGATATACTTTGGTTCTTATCAGATAGGAGGAGGGACAAATAAAAGTTGTGCTCTCTGCCTGGAAATTTCTCTCTCTCTCTCTCTCTCTCTCTCTCTAATATGCGTCCCCTCTCCCCCAGAGGGAGACTCTGGGCAGCTCAGATATCTTCATTATGTCCTCTTAGAGTCCTTGTAAAGGAAACAACAGAGGAGCCTGTAGCTCAAAGACTCATCCCCACACAGGCCTAGGGGCTGGTGCACTGGAGTATTCTTCTGGTGTCCAACGGGGACTGAGGCATCTAGCCTGGCCAAGGTGAAAGCCACACGGTGCCCTGGCTGTGGCTCTTCCCCCTGTCTCCCAAGGTCCTTCCCGCATATCATTTACAGGTTCCTCCCAAAGCTGCCAAATATCTCACCCCCTGAATTAGGGGGTTTGCCCTGAGTTTGCAACTGAGTATCTGCAGCAATTTCTGTAGAGAGCTCCACATTGGAAAAATGGAATAAAATGTAAAAAGGCTCTGCAGAATTTAAGGAATGACTTTCACAAGGTGGCACGTTGGACTCTAAAAAACAGCATTGAGCATCATCAAGGGGAATGGAAGGTAATTCCTCCATACCAGGTGACATGGCCTGACATGCTCCAGCTAATGCCTCTTCTACCACATGGAGGCAAGGAGAGATAGGATTAAGAGGACCTCCTGCAGGCTCTTCATCTGCCACAGGAGGGCAAAGGTTAGGGATGTTGGGAGACTATTCAGTAACTCAGTTGTGGCCATAGTAGCCAGTAAAGGTCTCTTGAGATCACCTACCTTTAGTAGAAGAGAGGAGAGGAGGAAACATTGTTGGCAACAGACGTACTGCTTGAAGAGCGATAGAATCCAGGTGGGATGGATCTTACTAGAAAAATTGTTTTTGCATCACAAAAAACTCTACTAGGAAAGACTTGAAATGTGGCTAAACATGGTCTCATTTTAAGTAGCTTTGGAGGAATAATAGACTGCTGAAAGGTCAGCAACATTTGTTTGCTATCCGGTGAACTTGGGAGACACTCAACTGCACATAAATCTATCTGTTGATACTGGCAATGGAGGAGTTGTCCCAGAGAAACTCTGCTTGCTCTTGAGTCTGTTCAGAGAAATAGATGCAATTTGGTGAACAGAAGGAGTGGCTCCTTCTTTTGATGTAAGAGGAACTTTGGATTGTATAAGAGTACTGCTATTCACCTCCACAGTATGTTTTGATTTATTACTGGATTTTAGTTGTTGATCATCACCAACAATTTTATTGACTTTATTGGGAAGGCAATTGTTAGTTCTTTGTTCTAGGGTAGGAAGCTTAATTGGGACTTCTGCCTGGCCTTCAATAAAAGCAGGGAGTTTTCCTGTGTATTTTTGGAGCAACACCTTGAAATCATTTTTCCGTGAATCCAGATTGTTCTTCATGGAAGCCAACTGGTCAGTCTGAGATGACAATCTGAGCAGTAAAAAGGCATTGTTTTGCCATAAATTCAGTTGAATTTTCCCATGGAAGTAACATCTCCTGCTTCTGGCTCTGCAAATCCTTGTTTTTATTCTTCTTCTGATTTTCCCCGAGAGTGACAGGGGAGCTCATAAAGTGAGCTGCAGAAGCACAAGGGGAGATTAGGTGGGAATTAAACTGCCCAGCTTATTCTTCTTCAAGGGAAACTGAAAGATCTGGCAATTGTTGTTTTTCCCCTTCAGTTTGAAGGCCTCATTCAATTTGAAAGACCCTAGCAATTACAGGCCCATTAGTTTAATAGATATTTTCACTAAAACATATGCTAGGTTCTTCTTGCATAGAGTCAAGAGCTGGGTACATGAAAAGTGTATTCTTGTAGAAGAACAAGCAGGCTTTAGACAGAGTCAATCTACTATTGACAATTATTTTGCTTGAACTATCTAATTAGAAATTATGTCAGTAAGGGGAAACAACTGTTTGCTGCCTTTATAGATCTTAGTGCAGCATTTGACACAGTAAATAGAGAAATATTATGGAAGAAATTGACTACCCTCACAATGGAATCCAGACTCCTGGCATTGATCAAAGCCCTTTACACAAGACTTGTTTGAGAGTGTGGTTCGGGGTAAATGGAGCCATGACAAGTAGGCTCGATACTTACAAAGGAATAAGACAAGGGTGCATACTTGCCCCATTGTTATTCAATCTATATATTAACGACTTACCAGGACTGATGAAGGATCCTGAAGTACATATGCCTAAGATAAACACACATTGTAACACCTGCTATATGCTGACGATGCGATTTTATTATCATACACGCAAGTTGGACTGTATAGGTTGTTAAGAAAACTTGGCTCCCACTGCCATAATAATGTTCTGATTATTAATAAACCAAAGTCAAAAATTATGGTTTTTGGAAAACAATATCATAGACATAGGTAGCTATTAGATGGTGAGCCAATAGAGTAGGTTAACACCTTTCCTTATCTAGGGGTAGTCTTCTCTGAGACTGGATCTTGGCTTCCTCATCACCAAAGGAACAAGAGCACATATGAATTTACTACTCAAATTAATAAATCACAGCTACCTAGGTTCCTTAGCCCCAATTGTTAAAGTATACAAGGCTAAGAGTATACAAGGCTCCTATGCTTCAGCTCCTATGAATCTATGCAATAGAAACTGGCAGACTCGCAAAATAGTGTCTGATAGAACAGACAAAATCTCAATTGCAGATTTCTTGGACTGTACAATTGACAAATTATATTAGAAGTTGTGGTCTCCCTGTCTCTTGTCCAACTGGTTTTGGAGAACAGGTTAAAAAGATTACTGCACAAATAATCTTGGATATAGAAGGACAGAAAAATATAGCCTCCACTAGTAAGGTTGGTACATTGAAATGGATGAACTGTTACAAATGTACCTTCCAAGTTGCCAAGTATTTAAACATAGAAATGCCTAAACATCTTCAGGTGGCTATTTACTCAAGCAAGATTTGATCAGCGGAGTCCTTGGGGTTCTCTGAGCTTGGTTGTTTTCTTGCAAGCGTT